TGCATTTGGGTTCTGAGTTCCATGTGAGTCATCGCGAAGCTGTTTCTGAGGAGGCTGCCGTGTCCCACAGGCTCCAGAACCAGCACGTGTGTGGATAATCAGCAGACATCTCAGAAGGGTCAGTTCCTCCTGGAAACACAGAGCACATAAGTTCAGACTCCCATTCCAGTCTTGAGATGTTTATCGTCAGATATTTAATACCAAAACCATGTGCTTGTAACACAGAACATGGTCAGAGTGTACATTAAGCATGCACTGAAGCAAGAGGAACAGACACGCTCTCCCCGCAACCTAGAAACTGAAGGCGTGAAACCTCACAGACACAATGAAAGGAGGGGAACAAGTCAAGGGTCAGTCGATGCTGGAGCCGCGGTGGGGTAACCGCAGCTGCACGGATGGGAATGCCGGGTCTGTGTCAGAACCATTAACCCTCCAAGCACCTTGATTCTGGACGAGCTGCTCAGAAAGGAGTCCAGCAGAAATAAAGCAGCCGCTTTCCAAGTGATGCGGGGAGGAGGTGTGCTTCCCGAGGCTGGGAGAGAGGAGCGCGCGGCAGACATGGTAGCCGTGGCTGGTGGCTGACTTCGCCATGCCTGTGCTTCTGTGCAGCACCAGCCTCCTCTGCCACCCATCACAGTAAAACGCCCAACTCAGGAAGACTGCTTTCTGGAAGGTTCTCCTTGGACCCTGATGTCCCAGAGGGCTGCTCCTCTCAGAAACAGGACCTCAGACCATGTCCTGCTAATGGGGTTTCTGCTTTACCCCAGAACGACCTCAGTGGTCCAGGGGGACTGGAAGGGTCAGTGCTGGCTGTGGAGAGGGGAGCTGGTTGTGCTGAATGGCCTTTGCCAGGAGTCAGCCTGTTCACCTTCGGGGCAGGGATTGGTCTTGGGAAACGAAAGCTGCTTCGGTTCACATCGGATCCACGGCGAGGAGGAGGATGCGTTCCTAGCCTTGGCATTGACGTCCAGCCCCTCAGTGCCGAGGGCCTCTCTGGGCACACATGGGTTGGCCGCTTGCTCCCGGGGCCTCTGTTTCCAGACTTTGTCGTCTCTACGCTAGTCAGGCTTCTCCGCTGGTATTCAGCTAAGACTTCTTTCCAGAGAAAAGCGGATCTTCCAAGAACTGAACTTGCCTTCCGGGATGCCGGGGAGCCGCACAGCTGCAGGTCTCCGCGCTGCGTCCTCACGCACGCCCAGCTGGGTCCTTCGGATTCTTTCCAGCAGCATCTCCCATCACCTGCTGTGGTGGAGACAGAGAGCCTGCAGCAGACCGCAGCTGCCAGCCTGCCTCCATCCGCCCCGCGTCCCGCCCCGTGTCCCACCCGTCGGCATGGGGCCCACCACCGCTGTCCTGAAGTGTCCTCACTTGAGGAAGCGCTTGTTTCTTCAGGTTGAGCCGCACCCTTCAAGGCGGGCAGGGCCTTCTGCAGGCCCCCGGGCAGGGATGTCCACTTAGGACTTACCACCATGTTTCCACCTGGGTGGTGGCTGTCTCTTGTTTAGGGATCTGCCTCCAGCACCGAGGAGCAAAACCATGAATTTCAAATGCATCCAGGGCCCCACCCCCACCCAGCTAGGAACACCTGACACAAGCCCTGCCTGTGATGCATGCATGCTCACCTTGACACAATCCCTGGCTGCCGTGCCCGTGCACACGCTCACTTATGACACAATCCCTGCCTGCCGTGCCCGTGCACGCTCACTTATGACACAAGCCCTGCCTGCGGTGCCCGTGCACGCTCACCTATGACACAATCCCTGTCTGCCGTGCCTGTGCACATGCTCACTTATGACACAATCCCTGCCTGCCGAGCCCGTGCACGCTCGCTTATGACACAATCCCTGCCTGCGGTGCTTGTGCACGCTCACGATGACACAAGCCCTGCCTGCCGTGCCCGTGCACGCTCACCTATGACACAATCCCTGCCTGCCGTGCCCGTGCACGCTCACGATGACACGAGCCCTGCCTGTCGTGCCCGTGCACACTCACCTATGACACAAGACCTGCCTGCCGTGCCCGTGCACACTCACCTATGACACAATCCCTGCCTGCCGTGCCCGTGCACGCTCACCTATGACATAATCCCTGCCTGCCGTGCCCGTGCACGCTCACCTATGACACAATCCCTGCCTGCCGTGCCCGTGCACGCTCACCTCTGACACAATCCCTGCCTGCCATGCCTGTGCACGCTTACCTATGACACAATCCCTGCCTGCCATGCCCGTGCACACTCACCTATGACACAAGACCTGCCTGCGGTGCTTGTGCACGCTCACGATGACACAAGCCCTGCCTGCAGTGCCCGTGCACACTCACTTGCATTTTCACACAAGTCTGGAGGAACATGTTTGTCATTTCCAAGATGCAGCCATTCTGGGAGCAGAGAGGAGCCAGCCCACGCCAGCCCTGGGCCTGCGTCTTCCTGGGTGCCTGGGACACAGGTCACAGGAGACGGATCTGGGGTTCCTCTGTATAGGAAAGGAAGGAGGACGTTGTGCAGAGAGTACAGAGGGAAGCAGTGGCCTTTCTGCAACCCCAAAACCAACTCAAGGTGGTTTTCCAAGTGGAGCAGCCCCAGGCAGGAAGGGCCCTGGGGTGCCAGCTCTGGAGCAGGTTTGTCGATGCTGGACATCGTCCAAGGATGTGATTACCAGGTCACCATGGAAACACATTCTTCACCCTGCTCAGAGCTGTGTGGGGTAGGTGGATGCACACGCTCTCTCCTATACTATAGCTATGGCTTCCTCACCAGTAGGCTGCCTGAGGGGCAGGACATAAGAATGGTACGGGACTGGACAAAGAAAGACCACCATGAGCCTAGCTCCCAGTAGAGAACTTCAAGTACCCAGCAAACCTCCGGCTCCCTTTGTTCTCAGATCTCGTCAGGGTGGTCACCATGCCAAAGTCCGTGATTATGGAAGGTTTTGTGGAACTTTGTCTTGTGACTCTAGCTGTTGAATGGTGTCCAGCAAGGAGATGGGGAAATACCTTACTTCAGGATTCTAAGCAATCCCCCCACCCCGTTTTTTTTGTCAGTCACGGCACTTGAATCAGGCCAGGCGCTGGCTGGCATTCTACCACTTGAACCACAGCACCATGTCCAGTTCTCTGGTGGATAATGGGAGGTAAGAGTCTCACAGACTCTTCTACCTGGTCTGGCTTTGAACTATGATCCTCAGACCTCAGCCTCCTGAGTCGCTAGAATTACAGGCATGAGCCACTGTTGCCTAGCTGAACCCATTTTTTCCCACACTTTTCATGTTTAGAACCATAGAAAGTTTGCAAAGGTAGAGCAGAAAATTTCTGTGTTCTTCCTTTCCTGGGGGAGACATCTCCTAAGTACTGGTGAAAGAAGCCACTCTGCTTCCTTGGGATTTTCCACTGCCTGATCCAGTCCAGAACACCGCTACACCTGTGCTCTCCATCTGACCATTTCCATCTCTCTTTATCGTCACGACCTTGAAACTTTTGTGGAGGTCAGACATTTGGTTTGTCTGATGTGTGCTCGTCATTTGGTGGAGAGAGATCTCAAGGTGCACGCCTGAGGGTGCGTTTGTGCACTCCATACCTGGCACACCCCAGGCCTGGCATACTTCACACCTGGCATATTCCACACCCAGCACACCCCACACCTGCATACTCCACACCCAGCACACCCCACGCCCATGCTGCCAGTCAACCTCCAGGCTTGGGGGAGTGGTGTTTGCCAAGTTTTCTTTCCAGAAAAATTTTGTTTTCCTCTCCATATTCTGTGTCTAGATGTGAATTCCTAGCATAGCCTTTCCTTGGGGAGAGCTTAAGTGCCATCTTCTAGGGCCAAAAATACCAAGAAATCTGCAGATGTATGTGAATCCCCAAGCCAGAGATTCTCGAGGATCACAGGGAGATTCTCTCTGGGACTGCACAGCGCTGTGTCTATGAAGTGTGGCTCATGGTGCTCGTGGCCCCGCATGACTCCCACGTGACTCCCAGCTCAGGAGGAAGCGCTGCCATGCACCGAGGGCGAGTTTTCTGCTATGCTTGTTGGAATTCTGCTGCAAAGACTTCTCCCTTTCTACCATTTAATTGAATATCAAGTGGGGTCTTTCAGATGACGTTTGTTCCCTTGTGCGTGTGTGTATGTGTGAGTGTGCACACACACACACACACACAAGCCAGTCCTGGAGCTTGAACTCAGGGCCAGGGCACTGTCCCTGAGCTGTTTTGCTCAAGGCTAGCACTCTACAGCTTGAGCCACAGATCTACTTAGAACTTTGTGTTGCTTAATTGGAGATAAGAGTCTCACAGACTTTCCTGCCTGGGCTGGCCTTAATCGCCAATCCTTAAATCTCAGCCTCCTGAGTATTTAGAGTTAAGCCATCACCTGACTTTTAAAAATTTTTATTATACAATTTATTAAAAAAAACTTTTCATAGAATACATTTTCTCATTAGCAATTCCCAAAGTGGAAAAACTACTTTGTTATTTACTTTTGAGGATGAAATCTGTTTGGAATCTGAAATATTTTAGTACATCCATAGGGGAAATCTTGTTCCTAAATTTTAGTACATCTACTGGGGAAGCTCTCAGGTACCCTTCTAGCATTTAGAAATTTGTAATGTGAAATAAAGCACCTTTGAATTTTAAAATTTCTATAGAACATATGAACAATTCCAGTATCAATAGAAATGAAAGACACTTCCAAAACTTATATACCGTCCAATTTTCTGCCACGTCTTTACTCAAGAATGAATAGGCTGCTGGGCGCTGGTGGCTCACGTCTGTAATCCTAGCTACTCAGGAGGCTGAGATCTGAGGATCGCGGTTCAAAGCCAGCCCAGGCAGGAGAGACCGTGAGACTCCTATCTCCAATAAAACCACCAGGAAACCGGAAGTGGCGCTGTAGCTCAAGTGGTAGAGCGCTCGCCTTGAGCTGAAGAGCTGAAGGACAGCGCCCAGGCCCAGAGTTCAAGCCCCACGACCGACCAAAAAAAAAAAAAAGAATGAATAGGCTTTCCTTCTGTCCATTATTTCCAGGACAAAAACAGAAGTATTATTATGTACTGATAGCAGTAAAGCTAAATTCTTTTAAGAAATTGATACATTGATAAGTTAAAAGACAAAAAAAAAAACCCTCAAACAAAACAAAAAACCCGACCATACGTACTGCAGACACTATGAGTTTTGTGAGGTGGGAGAAACACATTCACTCACCACAACACAAAACGGAGCCTCAGTTTCTTAGATCTAATTCCTCTCAAATCTTTCCTCCACATTAAATTCTGAAAATAGCCATGTAATCAGGAGAAGCTGTATCCAGCAGTGTACTCATCTGTTGCTTCTGTTTTTACTGCAAGCTGAATGGCAAGACAGAGACAAATGTGCATACAATCAATTCTTAACGGATGAAGTGAGCCTTGCAGATGCCCACGTCATGATAGTTGAAGTAACAAAGGCCAGCAAAGGTTACAGAGGAGAAGAGCACAAGGGCCGCCCTGGCAACTTTCGGCAACGTATCCCCATGTACAAAATCAGTAACAACTTGTCCCAGGCCCCAGTAACTATGGAGTGTGAGGGCTGCAGACAGAGAGTAGTCCATCGCGGAGCAAGGATTCAAATATGCAGCTGGAAGCAGGCCCAAGAGGCCAACAGCAAGAACCCTCTCACCAGTCCAATGGAGAGATGCAGCTGTGGAACCAGCATGTCGGCCTGGCAACAGGTTTCCACACCATCCTGGAGTAGCAGAATCCTGGAGAAATGCTGAGACATAAGCAGGTCTAACCTCTGAGGTTCGGCGGAACAGAGCTCGGCCTCCTCGGGCACCGCAGAGGACGCTCAGCCTCAACACAGACGTCATCTTGCTTCTGGCTTTTTTTTTTTTTTTTTTAAGTTTTATGAACTTCCTTTGTTTTGGGCCTGATCTTAAAAGATGCACCAAACTATTTTCTTTTTTGGAGCCCTAGAAACAGCTTTTACTCCAGGGAGTTCCAGAGAGTTTGACACTTTTATTGAAAGATGGTATTTAGGAGCCACTGTTTGGGATTTAGGTGTGTGAGTTGCAGTTTGTAGATCTTCTTAAGTGGAAGAGCGAGGAAACATATCCGTCTGTGTATGTGTGCACGTAACTTTACTTTTAGACAGGCACATAAAGCTGGGCCTTCTCACCATGCAGGTGCTTGCCACGCCTCCTGCTTTATGATTGTATGATTCTAAGAAGTGCACAGGTATCTCATCGTTTGAGCTGATTTTCCCAGTGACCAGTAATGCTGGGGACTTTACATGCTGACCTGCAGTCCTTGTGCTGGCTGGCCAGGGACTGTCCAGAGATCCTTGCCTGTGGTTCTGTTGGGTTGCTAAGTCTGGATTAAAAAATAAATGTGCTGAGCACTGGTGGCTCACGCCTGTAATCCCAGCCACTCAGGAAACTGAGATTCGAGGATCACAGTTCAAAGCCAGCCCTGGCAAGAAAGTCCGAGACTCTTATCTCCAATTAACCACCAGAAAACCGAAAGTGGTACAGTGGCTCAAGTAGTAGAGCACTTGCCTTGAGCTGAAGAGCTGAGGGACAGTGCCCAGGCCCAGAGTTCAAGCCCCACAACTGACAAAAAAAAAAAGTAACAGACGCACGTTTTCTAATAACTATGTAAGTTGCAAATATTTTCTCACAGGCTCCAGCTTGGTTTCTCCTTCTCCTCCTAGTCTTCCACACAAAGTTTTCTGTTAACAGGAGCCAAGTAACCAATGTCTTGTGCTGTCATATCTGAAAACCCAATGCCGAACCCACGTCAGACATATCAGCTATGTCACATTTTGCCTTAAAAGCTTTGTCGTTGTGTGAGATTTGGTTGCTCTTCCCATGTAAACCTCCCTGGCCCGACACTGTTTGATGAAAAGGCTAGATTAAAAGCAGTTTACTTATTTTGCTATTACACATAGAATTACACAATTGCAGACTCCAGGGGTTCATTGATTGTCCATATGAACACGAAAACAATACTGGAATGTTCATCTTACATCCGGAGTCCCGGCCAGATCCACATATTAGTTTGGAAACTGCTTGTAGGTGCTATGTAATTTGTTTCATGTGAGATGAGGATCGTTTTATTTCATCTTTCTTTTAAACCGGGGGCCATTTGTTTCTCTCACTTCTCTCCTTCCACTGGCCAAGTCTTTGAAGATGACTCTAGCTGTTCCAAGAATGGATGTGCATGCTATGTCCGCTGATGTGGGGGAAGTATGTGTCATATTGCCCAACATGGGGTTAGGGCGCTTAATCCCTTGCCAGGAAGCATGTTTTCTAGGGTTTACTAGCATTATCTCTTGGAGACCAGGCTCTGGGGTGAGGGAACATCCTCTTTACCTCTGAGAATGTTCCTTGTCTGATGTTACATTTGGCACGCGGTTCCTGTAGCTCCCCAGCCCTCTTTGGGTGTGTTTACACAGCGAGCACTTGCTACCCTCCAAGTGTCAATATTCTCATATTTAAACAGATTTCCTGTAGTCAAAGTGATCTTTCATTCCTAGTTGGTGACACAGTTGGTCATGGATGAAAGTTGAATGTTGAATGTCTTTCTTCCTATATTAGTACAGTTGTGTGCCTGTTTCTTGAGTCAGTTTAGTTATTTGTTGGTCATGGGGCTTGAACTCTGGGCCTGGGCGCTGTCCCTCAGCTCTTCAGCTCAAGGTAAGTGCTCTACCACTTCAGCCACAGCGCCACTTCCAGTTTTCTGGTGGTTTATTGGAGACAAGAATCTCACGGACTTTTCCTGCCCAGGCTGGCTTTGAACCACGATCCTCAGATCTCAGCCTCCTGAGCAGCTAGGATGACAGGTGTGAGCCACCAGCACCTGGCCTATCTATTTTTTTTTATCTTCTGGGTGTTATTTTAGTTATTTTTACTGCTGGGTCTATCTTGCACTACTTGAATAAACCCCACTTGATCATCAGCATATATGCCTCTGTTCAAATTGCTTTATTTTGTTCAGGATTGTTTCATTAGTGATTTTTTTCTTTTGGGAGGGAGGTGGTAATTCCATTTTTAGTGTTGATCTTGACATACAAGCATACTTGCTCTCATAATATAGATTGGGATATGTTGTCTTTTGTTTTATTTTTCTGGGAGATGGAGTACATACTTATTTTTGTCTTGTTTCATATATATTTGGGCGAACTTACCAGTAAAGCTGTCTTGACCACCAGGTTTTGGCTTAGAAGATGACAGATTTCTTTATCAGATGTGGAACTCTTCATTTGACCTATTTGTTCTTGAATATATATTTTTAGTTCATGTTTATCACGGAGCTGGGTCAGGCCATCTTGTCGTGATGTTGACATGGTGTTGACGTGATCAGCATAACGATGTTTCCGTCTTTATTTATCTTGAAGGTTTGGGACGTGAGTGCTGATGGCTTCTCTTATGTTCTTGACATTCATAATTTATAACATTTCTCTTTTGGCTGTCTGTCCAGCTAGAGGTTTCAAAATGCTATTGATTTTTTAAAACTTTTTCAATTTCTTTGATTTAAAAAATTGTTTTAGTCTTTTCAATTTTATAAATTTTTGTCCCTGAATTTTATTATTTCTTCTCTCCTGCTTGCCTTGTGGATAATTGGAATTCCTTATCTAATTTATCCTTAGGTTACTCATTTAAGATTATTTTCTAATATAAGTCTCTAATGCTATAGATGGTCCTCTAAGCGCTGCTTTAGCTGAATCTCTCATATTCTCACAAGCTGTCTTTTTATTGTCATTGACGTCCAATATCATTTATTGTCATTGACGTTAATTTCCCCAGAGGATTTCTTTGGATCCATTTCTGGGGAAGTATGCTATTTTGCTCTCAACTGAGTAGGGATTTTTCGGGAATCTTTGTGGCTGATTATCTAGGTCAGCTCAGTCTCTGGCACATACTTTGCATTCTTTTTATAATTTTTATTCTCTCACCTTTACTAAGGTTTCCTTGATGGCCTGGAATTTAGTCTTTTACAAGCAATGTTCATCTCACGGGGGTGGGCCTGAGGCTCCATCGTGAGGCCATGTTCTGGTGTCAGGTCAGGAGGCGGGCATCTCCGGTCTTCCCGATTTATGTCTCCAGGGAAGTGAGGAAGGTCCTGCTCCGTTGTAGAAGCTTCCATCCCTTTGGATCAGTCAGGTTTTTGCTTCACACGTCTGTGTTGCCAGAGAAAGGACTCTTGCATCATTATGTAACATCCGACTTTGTTGCTGACAATATTCCTTGTCCTGAATTACGCTTTGATGTAATTAAGGTATCTACTGCTAATGTTCTTTGCTCTGGGTTTGTGTAAATGACATTTTATACCCCTTACCTTTTCCTGCATCGATGCTTCCATATTTAAAATAGATTTCTTGTGGGCTATCTAGAGTTAGCTCTTTAAAAAAAAATCCAACCCAACAATCTTTGTCTCTTAACTGTTGTGTCTATACTGTTCATATATAATTATTGGTTTAATTGCATTAAAATCGACCACTTCCCCAATCAGCTTTCTATTTACCCCCTTTCTGTATTCTGTGGCTGCCATGGACCATGTCTGCAGGCCTATTTTATTTCACTTGATTGCTTATCCCTCTTAATTATTTCATATTTACCACGTACACACGGTCTCCTTCCCAGAGCCCTCAACGCCCTTTCCTCAGGGCTACCGTACTGCCTGTGACCGCTCCCTCCATCCCGGCCCCGCTGTGTGCCCTTCCATGAGCAGTTACAAGTGTGCCTGGGCCTGGGCCTCTGCGGGCTCCCACGGTCCCTGCGGCAGGACCTGACCCAGTGCGGAGCTCAGCCGGTCCCAGGAGCTCCGGCACCCAGTGCGGAGCTCAGCCGGTCCCAGGAGCTGTGGCACCAGTACAGAGCTCAGCCTGTCCCAGGAGCTCCGGCACCCAGTGTGGAGCTCAGCCTGTCCCAGGAGCTCCGGCACCCAGTGCAGAGCTCAGCCGGTCCCAGGAGCTCCGGCACCAGTACAGACAGAGCTCAGCTCTTTCAAAGATGCAACACTGGCTGCTAAGCCTAAGGATGGATTTTTGAGGGTACCTTTAGAGCGGGCCCAGCCAGGTCCTTGTCTGAGACAGAGCTGCATTTCTTTTGTTTTCTTTTTGAACTTTTATAAAGGTCTGGCCGAGAAAACAATCCCAGGGTGCTCTGAGAAACATTAATAAAGCAATCATGCATAAGATATGCATTGTCACTAAAAAGGGAGACCATTATTGTAACTGTGGTAAACTGCTGAGGTCACCTAAGAGCATCGCCATGCTCCAGGGTGGGAACAGAGGTGGGGGAGAGGCCCTGCGGGGGTCAGCAGGCCGCAGTGCCAGCACGCCTCACTGGAAGCCGGTGAGGAACAGACTCCAGCGGGAATGGGTGCTGGGCACAGAGCCCAGGAGGACCATGGTGTGGCCACACTGGTCACTGCTCAGGCCGGTGTCCGGAGCCTCCACCGAGCTGAGACCCAGATGGATGAAGGTGTTGCATTTCAAACACATTGCTACCCGCATGTCTGCAATATGAAAGTGAGCACTGAAATCCCAGCGTCAGCTCTACCACTGGAGTATAAGTATTTGTTTACATTTTTATTTGTATTTAAGTAGTTGTACAAAGAGGTTATGATCACCATGTCCATTTATAAGTACAATGAAGTGTTGTTGAGAGTCAGGTGTGAATTCACCCACATTATGAGCACACCCACACCCACACCCACACACATATCTCAACTTTACATAGCACTTTATGTATGTGTGTTTTTTTCTGCTTTTTATTATTAAGATGTTGTACAGAGGGGTCACAGTTGCACAGGTAAGGCAATTAGTACATTACTTGTGGATCCTTGTTACCCCTTCCCTTCCTTGTTGGGCC